TACATTATTCTTTAATTGTAAGATATTTATTGAAGCTAAAAAGACACTCATGTATTTTTTCTTCAGATTCATGCTCTTATAACAGGGCCATTCGACACTCCATACGAAGGGGGTTTCTTTTACTTCCTGATACGATGTCCACCAGATTATCCAATCAGAGCGCCAAGAGTTCGGCTGTTGACCACAGGAGATGGGCGTGTCCGATTTAACCCTAACCTGTACAGGAATGGCAAAGTCTGTTTGAGTATTTTAGGGTAAGGACTATGCACTCAGAGGTTTTTAAGTGCTAACAAAGTATATATAAGATCGCATTCACAACGAGTTGAGCCATGGCTTTACAAATCCTGGAACTAAATATGGCGGACTTACATAAAAAAAAGAAAAACCGCCTAATTTTTTAATAGTCTCTCCGCCTCTCACATGCCTCCCCATGCGTCGTCCCTGCGGGGGTACAGTCGCTAAATCTCGGCTCCATTGGGACGACACATGGGGAGGCGTGTGAGAGGCGGAGAGCCTATTAAAAGATTAGGCGGTTTTTCTTTCATGTACGTCTGCCATATTTAGTTCCAGGATTTGTAAAGCCATGGCTCAACTCATTGTGAATGCGATCTTAGATGGCTTAGTGTATATAAGCAATTAACTGATTTTTTCTTTGCTTGAACAACATGTCAGGCAGTGCAAAATATCTCTTCAATTTACAAAAGTAGTTGAACTTTGAATTAACGAGCAGGAATTGTTGTGCTTCACGACCTGACATACAGTTTTAGCTATTAACAGATTCATATTAAATTTTATAATTAGTACAGCAGATCTCACATTTAGTGGCCTTGCTCAAACTGGACACTCGCCTTTTACTGAATATGGATGTCCCAGTCTGATCATGTGAAAGAGAGTGGTATAAAAATTATTTGTATTATGTTCAAAAATAGCTTAAGTCATTAAGAATGTTACATTAAAGAGACAACCTGTTGAATGGAAATCTTAACAACTATTGTTCACAAAACAGAACACAATCTAGGTTGATTTTGATGGTCTTGACTAATGCAGTAAGCTGCAGAATATAAAAGGCAATGGCCAGCTGCAGGTCCACAACACACTGGATCACACCAAACACAATTTAGTTTTAAACAAATTCGAAATGTTTTGTTTCTTTATCCAGAGCTTCATCAGTTCTGTTATGCACCCAAAGTTACATTGATGGATCCTTCAAGACTAATGCCTGATATATAAATGTGATGAACTCGTCTTGTGTAATATGTTGGAGTTAAACTAAGTAATACCCATTCCCTCTTGAGTTTAAGCTGTTATTAGATTCAGGAATTTGCTATTACAACCAATGTCTTTATGAGTTTAATCAGTATTTTAATATGATTCCAGCACATGGTCAGGTCCAGCATGGAGTCCCGCACAGAGCCTGTCTAGTGTTCTCATCTCCATACAGTCTCTTATGAATGAGAAACCATACCACAATGAACCAGGATTCGAACAGGTGCAGACTGGTTTTAATTTTAATTGTTTTTTTTTTTTTTTAATTTTTTGTTTTCCAAAAAAAAAAAGTAAATAAATAAAATAAATAAATAAATAAAGGAGCAAAATAACAAAGATCCATTCTAAGATAATGATAATGTAAATAGGTGATAACAATCACTGAAGGTAAATAAAGAATTATGATAAAATTCTGGTAGAACTCATTGAATGAGTAGTGCTATAAATGAATTATAAGAGGTACATGTAGAAAGATATCAGTGAAATTTTAATGACCTTTGAGACCGGGTTCCCATAAACCTGTTGCACTAGCAGGATCAATCTAACTATGAGGAGATTCTTGCTAAATTGCACTCAGCATAAGTGGCTTGAATGTCTGACACGCCCACTGAAGCTGCTAGGAGGGTAATTAACTTTTGTTCACGCTTAAACTGAATGTAATTAAGGGAAAATCCCCTCATAAATTATTTGGATGTAACTCTAACTTTGGGCTGACCTAACTACATAATGTTTGCCTGCTTTCAGATGATGCTTAAAGTATATAATGTACAGCAGTTTTCTGTTGGCTTTATGGTATATTTGTACATTGAATCATTTTATTTGTTGCAGGAAAGGACCCCAGGAGATGCCAAAAGGTATAATGACATCATAAGACATGAAACCCTACGAGTAGCGGTTTGTGATATGCTAGAGGGAAGGTGTCAGTGTCCACAAGCATTAAGGTAAGGAGTCAATGTCCACAAGCATTAAGGTAAGGAGTTAATGTCCACAAGCATTAAGGTGATCATCAATGTCCACAAGCAGTAAGGTAAGGAGTCAATGTCCACAAGCATTAAGGTGATCATCAATGTCCACAAGCAGTAAGGTAAGGAGTCAATGTCCACAAGCATTAAGGTAAATAAGGAGTCAATGTCCACAAGAATAATCACTTTCGATGATTTTGTTATAGAATATAACAGTGAATTTAATGGACAGTAAATCAACTTCCTTATATAAATGTATAATTGAATTGTGAGAATGAAGTACCACTTTCCCAAAGAACTGATATTCATTATTATAAAAAAATATCAGAGTTTATTTGAATTATAAAAGGAAGTAGGCATGTTAAGGAAGTGGTTATATTTTATCAGTTATATGATTTTTTTTTTATGTTTTGTATGTATATTTATTCATTTATTTGCTTCTTGTTTATTAAAGTTGTACCTGGCATATTTTCCAATTTCATATTTGATCCCATTGTAGAAATGTGAAAATGACATGTTTTAATGTATATCTGTGTACTGATGTTGTAATTTTTAATTAATATCTGTATCTGGTAATAGGTAAATTGTCTCTTTGTTTTGTAACAGGTATTTTCTTGAAATTTTATTTCAGGGAGGTGATGGAGAAATCATTTCCAGAGTATTACGATTACTATGAATCCACTTGCCTATCCAATTCCCACCTAACTGGACAAAATATGCAGGTAAGGTTTGAAGATATATTCCTCAGATATTGCAATAATTACTTATTGAATTTTAACAAAAACAAATTAATATATTCTATAGCAATGCTTTGTTAGTTACACGTTAAAATGTTGATTCAGTGATGTCTTGGCTTCACGTCAAAAAGCACAAGTCATGCCATTTTTATGAGTGACTAAACTGAAAAATCTTGAAAAAAGAAAATAGTGCAGTCATATTATTTATGACATTTTTTTTTTTTTTGTCACTGAATATATAGAATATTATTGGCAATTTTAGTTGGTATGTTTTAAAAGGGTAATCTTTAAAAGTTTAGAAAGTGTACTAGTAATTAGTAATTTTGGATAGTATGGCTGTTTTAATTTTTATATTATACACAGTGCTCAGAAAAACTTAACATGCAGCATTTATTATTATTATTATTATTATTATTATTATTATTATTATATCACTAGGACCCATTCGGTGAGAAACGAGGGAAATTTGATTATGGTGCAATTCTCAAAAGACTTCAGACATTAAAAGTTAAACTGGAGGACCGATTCTTATCCTCAGACTGTGAGGACTTGAGTGACGACAGTGGGGGCCTGGGAGGAGGAGGAGGAGGAACAAAAGGAGAAGGAGATACAGAGGACACTTCTAATACAAACTCACAGACTCCAGAGACAACAAAACATAATAAGGGTCTACGTGTATAACACATACCCTGTGGGTCAAATATAGTCTGATTCCCAAATTATTCGTGATTATCCCAACATGGAATGAGTAAAACATTGAGAAGGGCAAGATAAAGGAGGAACTGCATGTTGTGTTTTTTGAAGGCTTTGAACTAGCGCTGTTTCTTGACATGGCGGGCAGAAAAAGTGGCATGTATATGTATATGGCTTCTTCAGCAATAGATAGATTTCTGATGGATGTGGTTTGTGTGTAGCCACAAACCAAAGGCCAAGTTGTGCAGAGCCAGTTTAGTGGTTTACTCTGTCATCAGCGAGTTTTAAGTGAGTTTTCAACCAAGCAGAAGTCAATTTCTCTAGCATTACTTAAATAGATGGATTTTAATGTGGTTCATATCACTGAAGACCACAGTCAATATTAGGCTTGTACTGAGGGCTGGCACCTTGTGATTGAATTTTAAAAACTGATGATAATGATATGATATCAGGTGGATAAATATTACACACTAGTGTTGTTATTTGAATCCCCCTCCCGA